CAGTTGACATTGTTTATGCAGGTGTATTTCTGGGCAGTCTATTCTGTTCCAGTGATCTATTTTTTCTGTTCTTTTTCAATACCCCATTGTCTTGATCACTGAAGCTTTGTAGTGCGTTCAAAATTAGTCCTCTGACTTTGTTCTTTTCCTTAAATACTGTGTTGTCTATTCTGAGTCTTCTGCCTCTCCAAATAAACTTTGTAATCAGTTTGTCAATATCCACAAAATAACTTGGTGGGATCTTGATTGGAATTGCATTAAGTGTATAAATCAAGTTGGAAAGAATTGACACCTTGACAATATTGAGTATTCCTATCCATGAACATGGAGTATCTCCCCATTTATGTAGTTCTTCTGAGTTCTTGCATCAGAGTTTGTGGCTTCTCTTATATAGATATTGTATATATTTGGTTAGATTTATACCTAAGTATTTCATCTTCATGGGTTCTAATGAAATTATATTGTGTTTTTAATTTAAAATTCCACTGGTTCATTGCTGATATGTAGGAAAGTGGTCGACTTTTATATATTTACCTTGTATCCTGCAACCTTGTTATAATCAGTTATTAGTTCCAGGAGTTTTTGGTTAATTCTTTTGGATTTTCTACCTGTATGATCATGTCATCTGCAAACAAGGACGTTCTTAATTCTTCCTTTCCAGTAAGTATACCTTTTATTTCCTCTTCTTGTCTTACTGCATTAGCTAAGACTTCCGATATGATGTTGAAAAGGCATGGTGAGAGGAGACATTCTTATCTTTTTCCTGATCTTAGTGGAAAAGCTTCTAGTTTCTCACCATTAAGTGTTATGTTAGCTGTAGGTTTTATGAAGATGTTACTTATCAAACTTAGAAAGTTCCTAGTTCTCAGTTGCTAGTTGGCTGAGAGGTTTTTTTTTTGTTTGTTTTGTTTTTTTTAAATCATGAATGGGTGTTGGGCTTTGTCAAATACTTTTTCTTTATCTAATAATATGATCATGTACATTTTCTTTTTAGCCTGTTGATGTGACGGATTACATTAATTGGTTTTGAAATATTGAATTAGTCTTCCATACCTGGGATAAATCTCACTTGGTAGTGGTGTATAATTATTTTTGTATTTTGTTCAATTCTGTTTGCTAATATTTCTTGTAGATTTTTGCATCTATGTTCACGAGAGATATTGATCTGTAGTTTCCTTTCTTGTAATGTCTTTGATTTTGGTATTAAGGTAATTCTGGCCTTGTAGAATGAGTTAGGAAATATTCCTTCTGCTTCTATCTTACGAAGAGATTTTGAGAATTGGTATAATTTCTTCCATAGATGTTTGGTGGAATTCATCACTGAACTAATGGACACTCTGTTTATTTTTCCTCGTTCATTTTTCTTTCATTTTTCACACCATATAATCTCAATTGACCTATTTTCAAGTTTGATGATTCTGTCTTCTGCCAGCTCAAATCTGCTGTTGACCACCTCTAGTGAACTCTTCATTTCTGTTGTACTTTTCGACTCAAGAATTTCTATTTGGTCCTTTAAAATAATTTTTTCTCTTTATTGATATTCTTTATTTGGTGAGACATTATTTTCATAGTTTAGTTATTTTGACATGATTTTCTTTGGTTATTATAATATGTTCAAAGAACTAATCTAAAGTCTTTGTCTAGTAAGGCTAACACCTGGCTCCTCTCAGTGATAGTTTCTACTGATTGCTTTTTTTCCTGTGTGTGGGCCATACTTTTCTGTTTCATTGTGTGTCTTGTAATTTTTTTGTTAAAAACTAAACTTTTTAAATAATATAATGTGGCAACAGTGAAAATCAGAAACCCCTACAACAGGGTTTGTTGTTGCTCTTTGTTTAGTGACTCTCCTGGACTAATTCTGTAAAGTCTGTATTTCCTGTAGTGTGTGGTCACTGAAGTTTCTGTTTGGTTAGCTTCATGTCAGCTAATGATTGGTCAGAGATTTCTTTAAATTCTTTGAACAGTACGTTTTCTGGTCTTTGCTGAGGGGCTCTGTGTGTCTACTGTGGCACACCTTCAGAGCTCAGGCAGTATATGACACTTTTAGCCTTCACTTTTGCTTTTGCAGAGCCTCAAAGTCAGCCGGAGGTGAAGAGATTGGGCCCTCTCCAGTCTCTCCTGGGCATGCAAATGGCCTTCTAGATCACCAGGAATATGTCAGAGCTTTAAAAAGTCCTCTATGGACATCTCATTCCCCAGATCTTTCTTTTAAGTTTTTGGCTGGGCTCTTTTTTGCCCCAACTGGTATTGTAGCCTTAGGTAACTGAGATATTAATTGTCACTGATTGTTTTCTGCAAACGCACTGGGAGAGGGCTTTGAGCTCTGAGTCTGGTCAAATAATGACAGTCTCCTTCGAATGGGGCATTTCCACAGAGCTGTAAGACAGAAACATAATGAAAATGCTCTTGGGATGAGACTTTTTGAAGAGCTCAGTCCCAGTCTGCCCCCTCTGGTGGTTGCAAGGTTTCCAGTTTTCAGGGCTACCACAGAGCTGGGAAGAAGGAAATGGGAATAGGCCAAATTGAAAAAGGCTCAAACCCTGCTCTTCTTACTTAGGTTTTTTGAATAAATATTCTGTAGAGTTTTATAAACTTTTAGCTAATTTCCAGAATCCTGAAGAAATTGATTTTGACAATTTTTGCCAGCATTTTTATTGCTTTTATGGAGGGGTAGATTTACTGAGACCCTCACTCTACCATTCCAGTTGTATTCTCACCTTCCTTTAGCTTTCCATAGCAGTTTGTATACCTTAGGAAATGTTTCTTATTCTTCTTTGAATTATGATTACAGTTGTCTCTCAATATCCACAAGGGATTGGTTTGGGACCCCCCTGCCATCAATACCCAAATCCACATATGCTCAACTCCCTTACATAAAATGCCTTAGTATTTGCATATAACCTATGCACATCCTCCCATACACTTTAAATCATCTCTAGATTACTTATAATACCTAATGCAACGTAAATGGCTGTTATGCTGTATTGTTTAGGAAATAATGACAGAGAAAGAGGTCCGTACGTGTTCAGTACAGGCACGGCCGTTGTAGGTCTTCCAGCCGACAGTTGAATCTGTAGCAGTGGAACCTGCAGATATGGAGGGCTGACTGTGTATGGATGCTTTTCCTCCATTAGAATGTAGGTTTCTTGGGGACAGGAACTCTCTCTGCCATGTGCAATGCCTTGCACACAGCAGGTGTTAATTAAATTATGGGTTGGGCAAGTGTCTTGTATTTCTTAGATGAATTGGGACTCTTAGTTCTGTTATGGTCAGATAAGGCAAAATGTGTTCACGTGGCAAGGTGATCCCACTTCCTTTCTGTCCAGTGGTGGCTCTGTGGCAGGCAGCCTTCTGTAAATAATTCCCTAGGGACAGCATCAGCCCTGCTTCTAGCCTGTTTGTCTCTAAGTTTGGGGATTATTTTAGAATATGAATTAATTAATCCATTCAACTGATATATAATTTTCACCTATTATGTGCCAGGTATTGTGCTGGTGCTTTAGATAAGGCAAAACGACTGATAAGAGTCTTTACCTCCATGGGGCTTACAATTTAAAGGAGAGATGGGCCACAAGAAAAATGGAACAAAAGAAACGCCCCCCAAAACATTAAGTACAAATTGTGATAAGTATCCTGAAGGAAACAAAATGGTGTTGAGATAGCAGATGTGAATATTTAGTACATTTACAATAACCGCCTTTTCCTTCAATGTCTTTGCGTTTTGGCAGACACGTGCTATTCTGTAAAACAGTCCTCAGCGTGTTTTCATTTTGTTTGTCTTACTAGATTTCTTTTGAACAACACAAATTCATTTATATCTGTACACAACACTTTTAGCCTTGCATTTACTTATATAACATATGTAGAAATCACTGCTTAATTCTTGCCTCCTCTTAGCTAAAATCGTCTGATGCTGAGACAGTCTTTTCCCTTCTTGTTCTCCTAGAAGCCTTTGGGGAAGAACTGGCTCAGATATGAGTACTGGGAAACCGCTCAATTTTTAGGGAGGTGAATAAAGAAAATGCATAAATGTACAGAGAAAGGAGTAGCTATAGGAGTCAGTTAGAGTATTGGCTTGGTGTAAACGTGGGAGAGAATCCATGCTGACTATTGGTTTTATCTAGCTGGGTCCTACAGTGAGGGCCAGTAGGGGTGGGTGGCAGGTCAGAGGACAGGAAACTTGTGTGATGCAGTGGGACTAGATTTTAAGTTTTAAGAAGAGTTTTAAAAAATCAACACCAAGCTTAGTTTTCATTTTTAGCACCTAGTAGAAGCTTAGCCTGAAAAGAGGGGGAAGACTAGTGTCGACGAAAATAATCCATAACCAATCTATAAATGAACATTTGGGAGAGTTTATTCTGAGCTTAAATCTGAGGATTATAACTCGGGGACTTTCTTCCAGAAGGAAGAAAGGGTAGCAAAGAAGTGGGGTGCACAGAGTGGTTATGTACCCCCAGAGAGGATGTTTCATGTAGGATTGAAATGTCCCTTTTACAATAGTCGCGAGACTGCTCTGTCGGCACAGCAATTGATGTAAACAGCAGGTAGGTCTGCTGTCTCAGTGAACACAGCAGGGTGGCAGTCCGTTGTCTCCAGCTGACTGGTCACAGGTGAGCTGGGTGGTCAAAGGTGAGTGCAGCAATCAGTTCCTAGCCTAAGGAAAGATGCCCATCCCCAAGGAAATGCCAATGTGGGGGGAAGTTGCACCTTTATCTCAAGGCCTTTGTTCTTGCCATAGGAAATGTCTAAGCAGATATACAATGCGTGCTCAATAGCCACAGTCAGGCCCTTTTGGAAAAAACAAAGTCAGGCTGAATTAGGTTTATACCAAATGGCTTCGTCATATACTCCAATATATCCTATTGCTTGCCATTTTTATTTGTCGCTAGGAAAAGACAGAGTGATGAGTGCTCAACATGCATCTAGGTAGCTGGGGCGAACGTTCTTGAGGTGTCCCTGGTGACCTCACTAATTGGGCTGTTACTTTTCTCTTTGGCCAGTGTTTGTCCAGCATGATGCTGCTCAACTCTACCTCACAGTCTGGAACCTGATTAGGGACCAAATCACTGATGTCGACTTGGTAAGATCCTAGAACTAGAGAACTCAAAAGTTTAAGATGCTGCTCATTTAACTCATTCAGCTCTTATTAAAGTAATGTGTGGAGAGGATTAAAAGAGAAAATCCACATAAAAGGCTTATCACAATTCCATAACATTACCACTGTTATTGTTTTGCACCTTTTTGAGTAGAGCAAAGAGCATTAGTGGCTGCCATTTTTGAAACTTCTGGCTAGTGGCTCCAGCTTCTGGAAGTTGGCCTGACCTGGTTTATTTATGGCTTTATACTCTTCCTACCTCTCCCCTCCTCTCTCTTGCAGGTACAGAGGCTGCAGGCCCTGTATACAATCCAGATGAAGGAGTCCTTGGTTTGCCTCGACTGTACCCTGGAGAGTAGCAGAAACAGTAGCATGCTGACCCTCCCCCTTTCTCTTTTTGATATGGACTCAAAGCCCTTGAAGACACTGGTGAGGGTTTGTCTTGGTGAATTTGCTGTTCCCACACAACCCAGTGTTGCTGGTGCCCTCTTCTTCTGTAATCCACCCGTGGGTTTTAAAAAATAATTTCTATTTCCTTTGCATGGTTCTGGCTAAGTTCCCCTTTTATTAAAAAAAAAAATGTTTTTTCTCCTACTTCCCCTTTCCTCACACTATGCCCTTAACAAGTGTCCCTTCCTGTTTTTTCCCTCCAATCAGTAGGTACTTTTTGAGATCCTGCCATGTAAGCCACATTGGGCCAGACGTTAAGGGGGACGTGGAGAGAACCAGAAGAAAGAGTTAAATCCCCATCTGCAGGGCAAGGGGTTGTACTCTAGATGGGAAATACCAACCCTGCCTTTTCCGTGTTCTCCTGGGACAGGAGGATGCGCTTCGCTGTTTCTTCCAGCCCAGGGAGTTGTCAAACAAAAGCAAGTTCTTCTGTGAGCACTGTGGGAAGAAGACCTGTAGGAAACAGGTACTCACGCCCTGAAAGCAGATACTTCCCTCGTGTGGGCTTGCTGGGGGATTTCCAGTGGCTTTCCTGATAGAGTCTTCACACAGGCCCCCAGGGCGCCTCCTGCTGATTGAGGGAGGGAATCCACATCAGGCTAGTAGCTGGGATCCTGGGGCTTCTGATTTCCGGAGCTGTGGGTGTGCTTCTCATCACTGAGGGGGACAGAGCCTTTGAAGGACAAGAGGAGAAGATCCAAGAGCAGTGGGCAGAGTTTTTCCCTCCGGGCTAGACTAGCTCCCTAGAGCAGACTCTGTAGTTGCCTTGGGCTCTGCCACCTGTGCAGAACCCTGGGGCTGCTCGTGCCTTCTGTGAGAGAACTCAAGAGATTCAGCAAACAGGAGCCCTAAACTTTCTGCTTCACTCTTTTTGGGAAGAAGAATATACCATTAGCCCTGGTATTTATTTGAATCTACCCATTTCAAGTGCCTTAGGACGTCATCTCTACAGTGATCTTGCTTTTTCAGGTCTTGCAACTGACCCATTTGCCCCAGACCTTGACAGTTCACCTCATGCGGTTCTCTATCAGGAATATGAAGACAGAAAAAGTCTGCCACTCATTCTATTTCCCCCAGAGCCTGGATTTAAATCAGGTCCTGCTGACTGAGCAAGACCTCTGCGATGCTGAGGAACAGGTGAGATGCTCCTCACCTCTCTTCCGTCTTCCATCTCATCAGATACCATGTCTTTTCAATTTTGCCTCCCCTTCCTCTAAGCTCTTGAAGTCACCCACTCATCAGAGATGGCATTTATGGGTGTCTGATCGATGTCATTCTCTCATTTCAGAAATCATGTCCTCTGCTGACCATGCTCAGGATACACAAAGGGAGTAAAACATCTTGGTGTGATTGACAGAAACATATTCATATCATATATTCATATATTTTTATTTTTTAACAATATTTTAATGATGGAAACTTGTGTGTTTTTGAATAACAGTGATGGGTTGTTATTCTCCCCAGTACCACCACTATTTGCTGATTGTAGTTGCTTTTCTTTTCTTTTAACATTCAAAAGACTTTATTTCTATATATTGTGTTTGTACTCATATACCTCACAGCACTGAGGGAAGGAACCTATAATTCAGAACCTTGCTTTTAAATAAAAGGTGTAATGCTCACATAATCATAGGTAAACATGAAACCTTGGGTTCTAAATACGGTGCCAATCTAACTTTCTTCTTAAAACAGCTTATACCCACTTTGAGGATAAGAAGAAAGTAGCCATTCATTGGGCCAAATTTAATCAAAATAAAGTTGAATTCAGTTTTCCTGAGCCAATAATTTATTGGGAGATTCTGAGAAAAAAAATGACTTAAATATCTTTTTCCGTAGGTTTGAAATGCTACATTTAGCAAATTCTGTATTGCCATTTATATATACATGGGTCCATTTTTGGACTGTTTTGTCCCATTGGTCTGTTTACTATTCACGCTCTTGAACCATGGTATTTTAAAATTGAGGCCTGATAATAAAATAGCTCCTATTATAACAAGGTTTCTTTACCTATTCAGGGCATATGCATTTCATAGGACTCTCATTTTCCTTATTTCTGCTTGCACAGCCTACATGATGAAGTATATCCTCAAATTTTTTCCACTTAAAAAGACTTTGCTATGGGAAATTTGAAATATGTACGAAAGTAGTGAGGAGTTCTACTGTGGACCCAGGTCTGTCGAGCAGCACCAGCAGCTAGAAAATCCGTGGCCAGTCTTGCTGTACTTACACCTCCACCCTCTTATCTCTCCCACCCTCTGCTGGATTATTTTGAAGCAAATCCCGGACACCATACCGTTTCATTTTTAAGTATTTCACTATGTCTCTCTAAAGAAGAAGCACTCTTTTTCTCAACGTAATCAATTTCCTCTTACAATTCCTTAATATTATGTAATCTTCAGTCAATATTCAGATTTCTCTGACTGTCCTGAGTGGTTTGGTTTGTTTGACTCTAGGTCTTGACTTGAATTTGCTTAAGCTCATTTCCTCCCTCTTTCCCTCCCTTTCTTCTTTTTTTAGGTTAAGTCTCTTTTATGTTTCTCCTCCTTTTCTTTTCCTTGCAATTTTTATTTGGTTGAAGGATTTTTTATATATATCCAGAATTGGCTGGTTGGTGTTATTTAACATGTTTCTCTATCCCTTGTATTTCTTATAAACTGATAGTTAGATCTAGATATTGCCCTGCGTTTTTTAAATCCAGTGTAAGTTCCCAAGTGGAAATAGAGAATAATTTGAGCTGTCCCTTTTGGGTGACTGAGCTGCATTTGCTCTCCCTTGTTCCCCCCTCATGGATCTTGTTTTTTTAATTTTATTTTAATTTTATTTTTTATTTTTTTTTAATTAAGGTTATAAAAGTTAACATCCTTGTGAAATTACAGTTGTAGTTACACCACTTCACCCCTAGTGCCCTCCCCCCACCCCCCTTTCCCCTGGCAACCACCGATCAGTTCTCTTTGTCCATACGTTAACTACCACCTATGAGTGGAGTCATACCGAGGTCGTCTTTCTCTGTCTGGCTTATTTCACTCAACATAATACTCTCAAGGTCTATCCATGTTGTTGTGAATGGGACAACTTTGTCCTTTTTTATGGCTGAGTAGTATTCCATTGTATATATATACCACAACTTCTTTATCCAGTCATCAGTTGCTGGGCACTTAGGTTGGTTCCATGACTTGGCTATTGTGAATAATGCTGCAATAAAGATAGGGGTGCATGGAGCTTCTGAAATTGCTGATTTCAGGTTCTTAGGATATATACCCAGTAGTGGGATGGCTGGGTCATAAGGTATTTCTATTCTTAACTTTTTGAGGAATCTCCATACTGTTTTCCATAGTGGCTGCATCAGTTTGCATTCCCACCAACAGTGTATGAGGGTTCCCTTTTCTCCACAGCCTCTCCAACATTTGTCACTCTTGGTTTTGGATATTTTTGCCATTCTAACAGGTGTAAGGTGATATCTTAGGGTAGGTTTGATTTGCATTTCCCTGATGATTAGTGATGATGAGCACCTTTTCATGTGTCTATTGGCCATCCCTATATCTTCTTTGGAGAAATGTCTGTTCATGTCCCCTGCCCATTTTGTAATTGGGTTATTTGATTTTTTATTGTTGAGTTGTGTGAGTTCTTTGTATATTATGGAGATTAACCCTTTGTCGGATAAATAACTTGTGAATATTTTTTCCCACTTAGTGGGCTGTTTTTTTGTTTCAATCCTGTTTTCCCTTGCCTTGAAGAAGCTCTTTAGCCTGATGAAGTCCCATTTGTTTATCCTTTCTATTGTTTCCCTCATGTGAGGGGTTATGGTGTCTGAAAAAATTCTTTTGAAGCTGATGTCAAAGAGTGTGCTGCCGATATTCTCTTCTAGCAGACTTATTGTTTCAGGCCTAATCTTTAGGTCTTTGATCCATTTTGAGTTTATTTTAGTAAATGGTGAAAAAGAATGGTTGATTTTCATTCTTTTACATGTGGCTGTCCAGTTTTCCCAGCACCATTTGTTGAAGAGACTTTCTTTCCTCCATTGTAGGCCCTCAGCTCCTTTGTCAAAGATTAGCTGTCCATAGATGTGTGGTTTTATTTCTGGGCTTTCAATTCTGTTCCATTGATCTGTGCATCTGTTTTTGTACCAGTACCATGCTGTTTGACTACTGTGGCTCATGGATTCTGTTTTAAAGTCTCAGATTGGTGAGATTATTTGACTGTATTGAGAAAAAAAGAATAAAGTATTCCTGACTAATATGGAGATCCTGCCCACAGTCAGTCAAAACTCTGTCTCTCTCGGGGCTGGCCCCGTGGCCGAGTGGTTAAGTTCGCGCGCTCTGCTGCAGGAGGCCCAGTGTTTCCTTGGTTCGAATCCTGGGCGCGGACATGGCACTGCTCATCAGACCACGCTGAGGCAGCATCCCACATGCCACAACTAGAAGAACCCACAACGAAGAATATACAACTATGTACCGGGGGGCTTTGGGGAGAAAAAGGAAATAATAAAATCTTTAAAAAAAAAAACAAAAACAAAACAAAACTCTGTCTCTCCCACCACTATTCCCTTCAACAGAGAATTGTCTCTTATCTTGACTTTCTTAGATTTGAGGGAGTAGAATAACTTACTCCCAAATCTAATGGATGCTTTTTGGTCTTTCCCTTATTTGATCTTTTTGTGGTATTCTTTGTTATTGATCCTACTCTCCTTCAAAATCTATCTACCCTAGGGTTCTCTCCCAGGGTTTCTCCTAGGTTTCTTTCTCCATTGCTGGGTTTTTTCATGCCCATCCTTTTTACTGGTATTTAGTTTAATTCCATTTCTTTTTCTCCTCATTTTTCAAATGTCTTCCCATTAATTCTCATGGTTTCCATGATCACCTCAAGATGAAGACTTCCAAATCTGTATGTTCTGGCCAGGTCTTACTCTCAAGCTCCAAAGCAGTGTATCTACCTCCTACTGAATGTTGCCACACTGTCCCCAAATTCATTATTTTCATTCCCAAACAGCTGTGCCCCATATTTAACTTTATAGTACCAACATCTTCCTAATTTCCAAGCCAGAAATCTGGGATTCGTCCTTATAGTGCCTCCTACTTGTTTCTCCCGCTACCACATCCAATCAGTTACAAAATACTTTTAGTCATTTCTCCCTATTTTTGCACAAATCTGTCCCCACATCTTTGCCTTTACTCTCACTGCCTCAGTATAGTGTAGGGTTAAGAGCTTGGGTTTTGAAGCCAGGCAGGTCTGGATTGGAATCCTGCCTCTTGTATTTATAAGCTCTGGCCCTTGGGTAAATTACTTTCCTCTCTATGCTCTGATTCCACCCCTGTAAAATAGGATTTGTACTACCACTCAGCGTATAGGATTGCTGTGAATATTAAATGAAATAATACATGTAAAGACTTAGCCAAATGCATAGCGAATGCTAAAAGTTAATTAATAATTATTACGTTAAAAAATAATTATCATTTTAGTGACTACTGCTGAAAGTAATTAATCAGGCTATCACCATTTCTTGCTTGCACTATTGTGGTGCCCTAATTTATCTCATTGGCTTCTTTCTCACTTGAGCTCTCAATCCATTTTTCAAACCATGTTATTTCAGTGTGTTTCTCAAACTCAAGTCTGATGATGTTGCTCCTCTGCTTAAAACATTCTGATGAATGGCTCCCAGTCACTCATGGGATAAAGTTCTAATTCTTGACTTGACCTTTGTAGCCTCATCTTTTGTGACTTCCCAGCACCCTCCCTGACTTCCATTTCATCACTATGTTCTATTCTTTTATGCTGCTGAGCCTTTGCAATTTCTGGATCCACATTCAAGTATAACCCATTCCCATAACTTGTCTGCCAATCTTGTTCATCCTTCAAGATCAGTTCAAGCCTATCTTCCCTGGGGAGCTTTCCTCAGCTGGTTGTTCCTTCTTTTTGGGGCAAAAGTTGGGTCTTCCCAAACTTACTTGTAAATACAACTGGTATAAAACATGGCATTATAATTCTGGTTTAATTAGCTGTGAGATTCTTGAGGTCAAGGACTATTTTCTAGTTCCCTTGAAGCACCAGTGCATACCATAGAGTACACTGAGTGGATGTGTGATGAAGCAGTGTTTCCTTCTTCTAGATGAGGATTGGAAGAGGAGGGATGGTGGATGAGTTATTTTGTGCCTTGTATCCTTCCAGCCTGGAGGACAGTATGAACTCTTTGCTGTGATTGCCCATGTGGGGATGGCTGGCTTTGGTCATTACTGTGCCTATATCCGGAATTCTGTGGATGGAAAATGGTTCTGCTTCAATGACTCCAATGTTTGTAGGGTAAGGAACATCATCCAAAATCGCCCCTTGCCTTGGATTAGCCACCTCTAATAAATTCTGAGCCCAGGCCTAGACAACACCAAGACTCAATGTGGTCCTGTTCTCTCTGTGTGGAGGGCCTTTTATGAGGTTTAAAGTCCTTTTCTGCATGAAGTCTTCATCTGGCTCACAGCTCTGTAAAAGTCCACTTAGCTCAGTGTCTAGGCTTTTGGTGTTCTGGGCCCAGTGCCCCGCAGCTTCATGCTCTGTGGGAAACTTATGGAAAGCAAGAAGAGTCAGAAATGTGTAAGTTAGAACTCTGGGCTGAGCATAACCAAGTTTAGACAGCGGGACAGGGATACTAGAAGTGGCTTCATGTTCGTGGCACCCTATCACCAGATGGTCCATGTCTTGGGAGTTACTAGGGTTGGGTTTGTCTGGATGAGTGAGGGAGGGCAAATTGTAGCACCCTGTACTTTCTGGATGCTTAGCGGATGTGAGCTGGCTGCTTCACTTCATCTGTTTGTGTACTTTCAGGTATCTTGGGAAGACATCCAGTGTACCTATGGAAATGATAACTACCGCTGGTAAGAGAAGTGTTTGAGTGACGGAAACCCAAAGAGTTTACATAGGGTTCTTGTTGCTGTATGAAGCTCTCGTGGATTCAGCTGCAGCTCTCCTTGGCTAACTCTTCAGCCTCATCTTTCAATATCCATCCCACCACACCATGCTTTTCTCACAATTTAGACTCCAGCAATATGAAAGTCTAAGTAGCTCCCCAAACCTCATATCCTCCATCTTCCCTCCATGGCTTTGTACATGCAGTTCCTGGCCTGTATTGCCCTCTGCTATTTTATCATCGAGGCAGACTTCCGCTCATTCTTCAATACCTCTGTTCACGGCCTTTTCCTACTTGGTAAAGCCTTCACTGATTCACCCAGGTAGGTTTGCAGGGCTTCTCATATGCTTTCACTGCATTTGGAGCATGCCTGCTTTATAGCAGGGCCACACAGTTTTGCCATTGTTTGCTCTGTAACTTTCACTTTAGACCATGAACTTTCTGGGAGTGAGGGTCACTCTTTCCCTCTTTCTTTTTTTGGTACAGTAGCTTGCATTTAGTAAATAGCAGTAAATATATTTTTAAAAATAATAACTGCAGAGGGGAAACTGGAGAGAAAAAAGCAGAGAGACTTGCAAGTTTTCCCAGCTGAGTTTCTGGGTTAGGGGTGATATTGTATACCAAAGGGGATTTTTGAGATGATTTCAGCTGCAGCAGTAGGCCCAACCATTTGAAAAATAATGAATTAGGTGAAATTTGTGTTTGAAATCCTCCTCCAATCTTCTACTCTAGGACCTGGGCCTTGCTTGCTCAGCAAGAACCCACGTGCCCTATTGCAACCCTGTGTCCTCCTGGCCCCCTTCTGGGCAGGACGCTGAGCTGCTGGCATTTGTAACAATCTAGGGCCTGGCCAGCCCCGATCTTACCTTATCTCACCCAAAGAACATCACAAAGGAACACAGAGTTCCTCCACGTGAACTACGGTTCCTGGAAACTCTGGTCGTACCAGGGACAGCCCCCTTGGCAAGTACATAGCCTTTGTGCCCCCTGCCCGTATAAGCAGCCCCTTCCCTACCCATTGTAGCAGTGTGCAAGTCCAAGCAGCCGGCCACCACTGGACACTCCCTGTAACTGCCTCCCGATAACCTCTTATGTCTCGTTAGCTGTCTCTGGGTCTTTTCTTAGGTCTCTCTGCAACCTGTCCCACATAACCTTACCCAACTGGGCAGACTTCTGCATTTCATCTGCCTCTTCTCTTTCTTCTAAGCATCTCCCTTAGATGCCCACTCTTTGTCACTTTCTGGTTGTCAGTGATTCCCTCATTATTTAGATTAGGATTTGGCAAACTTTCTCTGTAAAGTGCCTGAGAGTAAATATTTTGCCCTTATGGGCCATGTGGTCTCTGTTGCAACTACTCAACTCTGTCCTTGTAGCACAAAAGCAGCCATAGGCAATACACGAATGAATAAGTGTGGCTCTTTCCAACTAAATTTATTTACAAAAACAGAGTTGGATTTGGCTCATGGGCTCATAGTTTGTCAACCACTGATTTAGAGGTTTTCTAATAGAAGCTTAGTGGTTATTTTCCCAGGTCACCTGTTTTGTTCCCCTCTAAGGTAATGGATAGACAAAGAATTGAAGAACAACCTGGAAAGTTTCCCACGCTTGTCCTATCATGAGTTAATAATGTGTTAATTAACTATGAATGTTTCATTTCTGCTATGCTGTTGCATTTTTTTTCTTTCTAGGGGGGAAATTGCATATCTTCTAGTTTACATGAAGATTGAGTCCTAATGGATGTGCCCTAAATCTCCAGAGACTGACAAAGTATCATTTTCCCTTTTTGTTCCTGAATCTGCCGACTCTTTTAAGAGATTTTTGCAATGAAGAGGAGAAGCACCATTTTCAAATTGTGTAATTAAACTTTATTTATAATCAGGGGTGCTTATCAAAATGTTTAACAGTGACACTGCCCAGGTATTGATCAGTCAGAATGGATCCTTCCAGCAGTGGGTGCTGGCCATGTGTCTGGAGCAGGTCCCGAGGGCTCCCTGCTGTGCAAGGCATTAGTCCTTTAGTGGGAGATCGTGGGAATCCAGGTGATCCCAGGGAGGGAGAGACCAGGCCAGCAATGGTAGTGGAAGGCATTTGAGTGGCAAGGGGCAGTGGTGGGGAAATATTTCAATATTTTACAACTAGTGTGACCATACCGGTATGTACTGGATGAATGGGATTTTATATATAATTTAAAAAACTTTTAGAGCTTGTGTTATTTCCATAAAACTCAAGTATTTTGTAACTGTTATTCATTTATTTGAGAAATATATATTGATCACCTGTTCTCCATAAGACAGCGTGGTAGGTACAGTAACGAATAAAGTTCTTTCTCGCAAAAGGAGTTTGCAGTTTAATGAGGGTAATAAAAATACATAAGATACTGAGGGTTTGGGGTACAGGAATTCAAAGGAAAGTGAAATCACTTTGTTGGGGACCATGAGAGAAAGCTTTTAGGCTGGAAAGGGGGTTAGGGAGGAGGATAATCTCTTTGCAGGGAAAGGCATACTTAATGGCATGATTGAAAAAGGCAAGGCTCAGGGTTCAAAGACCATTCATGAAGAAGGGCGTTCACAGTCACTAGAGCCATTGTGGAGGGAGAACGGATGTGGACAGTGAGAGAAGAGGGGTCAGGGGGTCTCCAGGACCAGGCTAGGAGGTGAGCAGACTAGATGTTAACATCTTCATTTTACAGATGAAACGATTGACACATTCAAGTTTAATGACTTGTTCAGCATTTCCTGCTTTTGGTAAGTGGCAGAGCTGAAAATTCCAACATAAGCATGGGTAATTTCTTTATTATTTTATTTTTATTGAAAAAAATTAGCCATGCAAAAGTAAATTCTCACTGTAAAATATTCAAACAACATGGGAATATACAGAATCTCTTCCTTGAAGCTAACCCTTGTTAAACAGGTGCCTGTGAGCTTTCTAGGGCTGCCGTAACAAATGATCACGAGCTGGAGGCGGAAACAGCAGGCAGGTGCTCTCTCGCAGTTCAGGAGGCAGGGGTCTGAGTCGAGGTGTCAGCAGGCTGGGTCCTTATGGAGGCTCTGGGTCCTGATGGAGTGCTCGGCACTCACGGCCGTGTAGCTGTGTCACTCCGGTCTCTGCCTCCATCTCACACTGACTTCTTCCCCGGGTGTCTCTGTGTGTCCTCTCCTCTTCCTGTAAGAACACCAGTCATTGGGGCTCACCTAATCCAGGATGACCTTATTTTCACTTGGCTAATTATGTCTGCAAAGACCCTCTTTCCAAATAATTTCACATTCTGAGGTTCCAGATGGACGTGAGTATTTTTGGAGACAATATTCAATGCAGTAAAGGGTGTTTATCCCTCTGGGCCTTTTAAAAAACGCATTTGCATACATATATCTCCAGGTATAAATATTTTTACATCATAAATTATACTGTATAAATTATTCAGCTCATTGCTCTTTTCACTTAATGTCTTAGAAAATTTTCCAAGTCTGCATGTAGGTGGATAGTGTTCTTTTAAATTGTTGCATTTAATTCCATAGGTTGATATATTTTTCCGTTCCCATATTGGTAAATAATTTAGGACATTTCCATTTTTTTTCGCTATTTAAAAAAAATGCAGAGTGAATGAACACCTTTGGAAATATTTTGGCCATGTGTAAATATTTCTGTAGGAACTGAGAAGTGAACTTATGGGTCAAACGGCATGAGTGTCTAAATATTGTGGTAGATACTGCTAAATTGACTCCACTTAACACAAGTTACTTTTCAAGTTTTTTTTTCTTTTAAATATTGGCACCTGAGCTAACATCTGTTGCAGACAAAACATTTGACGAAATCTAACACCCTGTCGTGATAAGGTCACTCTCCAAATTAGGAACAGAAGGGAACTCATGCAACCTGATCACGGGCTTCCACGGAGAGCCCACCCCTGATGTCTTAATGGTGCAACACTGAATGCTCTTCTCCTATGGTCAGGGACAAGACAAAGATGTCGCTCTTGTCACTTCTATTCACTGTTGTACTGGAGTGTCTAGCTAGGTGTCTTAATCTGTTATGGCTGCCGCAACAATATGCCACAGACTGAGTGGCTTAAACAGAACTTATTTTCTCACAACTCCGGAGGCTGGAAGTCCAAGTCAAGGTGTCAGCAGGTTTGATTTTTTTTTTCTTGTTATGTCCTCTGTCAACACAAATAATCCATAACCAATCTATAAATGAAAATTGGGTGAGTGTATTCTGAGCCAAATCTTAGGACTAGCTTATCCCAGGGCCTTCCTTCCTGAAGGAAGGAAGGGCACCAAAGAAGTAGGGTGTACAGGGTGGTTATATACCCTCAAAGAGGATGTTTCACATATGATTGGCATGTCACTTTTACAATAGTCATGAGACTGCCCTATTGGCACAGTGATTGATGGACACAGCAGGTAGTAGGTCTGCTGTCTCAGTGGACACAGCAGGGTGGCAGGTCTGTTGTCTCAGTCTGGGTGGTCACAGGTGAGCTGGGTGGTCACAGATGAACACAGCAATCAATTCCTAGCCCAGGGAGAGATGCTTATCCTTAAGGAAATGCCAATGTGGGAGAAGTTGCATCTTTATCTCAAGGCCATTTGTTGTTGTCTTTGGGACACAGCAAATGTTTAAAGCAGATATACAATGCATGCTCAACGGCCATGTCAGGCACTTTTGGAAAAACAAAGTCAGGCTGAATTAGGTTTACACCAAATGGCTTCCTCATATGCTCCAGTATATCCTATTGCTTGCCATTTCTTTTTGTCACCTCACATGGCCTGTTCTCTCTGTGTGGGTGCCCTTCCTGTCTCCTCTTAAGAGAACACCAGTCCTGTTGGATTAGAACTCCACCTTTGTGACCTCATTTAACCTTAATCACCTCTTTAAAGACCTCATCTCCAAATACCATCACATTAGGGGGTTAGGGCTTCAACATATAGGATTTTTGGGGGGGACAATTCAGTCCATAACACCAGGACAATAAGGCAAGAAAATGAATTAAAAAACATCAGATTGGAAAGGAGGATACGAAACTCTTTCTATTCTCAGATAACATGATCTTACATACAGAAAATTCTAAAGAATACACTAAAAACTATTAGAACTAATAAACAAGTTCAGCAAAGTGGAAAATTATAACATTAATATACACAAGTCAGTTGTCTTTATACTTGCAATGAGCAATGCATAATGAAATTAAGAAAACAATTCCATTTGGAAGAACATCATAAAGAAAAAGATAATTAGGAATAAACTTAGAGGTGCAAAACTTATACTTTGAAAACTATGAAACATTGTGAAAGAAATTAAATGGATAGCCCACATTCGTGGATCACAAGACTTAATATTGTTAAGATGCCATTGATCCCCAAACTGATCTGCAGATTCCACATAATGCTTATCAGAATCCCAGCTGACTTCTCTGTAGAAATTGACAGACGTCCTAGAGTTCGTATGAAAGCTCAAGGGATCCAAAATAGCTAAAACAATCTTAAAAAACAGGACCAAGTTGGAGGACTCATGCTTCTGTGGGGGCGGAAGATGTTTCCTCTACCCTCTCTGGGTTCTTCTGGCCAGAGGATGAATTAAATTCACATGAGACAGAATAACAGGAGAAAATTCAACAAAGTTTTATAACATGTATACACGGGAGAGGCTCAGGCAAGCTGAGCAACTTGCCAAAATGGCTGAAGCCCTCACCTTAAATATTATCTTCAGCTAACGACAAAGGAGGATGTTGGGGATGGAGGGGGAGTCATCATGGGAAGTTACCACACAAGTACAGTAAACAAATGCAGATTTAAGTCCTTGCCTTTGGCATTGATTAAGAGTTTCTAGAGATAAGGTCATCCTCCCTTCCTGGTACAGAGAAGGAGACACTTTTACAGATGGAGATTTCCTTTACAATGTAAATGTCTCTTAACAAAGGGTAAGTAAATTCTACTTTTCAGTTGCTTTCCTGTCTGCAGTTTTTTAAAAGCAACCAGCCCCAAATAATCCTCATGCCAAAGAGACATATCTTGGGGTGGCCAATTCCAGGTCCCACACTTCATTACTTTAAAACTTATCAGAGTAACAGTAATCAAGTGTGGTACTTGCATAAGGGTGGGTGTCCAGATTAGTAAAATAGAGAGTCCAGGTATACACTCATATTTCTATGGTCAGTTGATTTGGGAGTGCTAAGACCATTCAAGGAGGAAGGAACAATCTTTTCAACAAATATTGCTGGGACAACTGATAGGCACAAGAAAAATAATAAATTTGGACCCTTGCCTCACACTACATACAAACAGTAACTAAAATGGCTCAAAGACCTAAATGTAGGAGCCAAAACTATAAAACTTTTAGAAAAAAATATTGATGTAAATCTTTGTGACCTTGGATTTGGCAATGGATTTTTAGATATGACACCAAAAGCACAGCCAACCAAGTTAAAAATAGATAAGTTGGGTTTCCTCAAGGTTAAAAACTCTTGTTCTTTAAAGGACACTATCAAGAAAGTGAAAAGACAACCCACAGAATGGGATACAATATTTGCAAATCTTCTATCTGATAAGTGTATAATAACAGGAATACATAAGTAACTCTTACAATTCAACAACAAAAAAGACAACACAATTACAAAATGGACAAAGGATTAGAATAGACATTTCTCCAAAGAAGATATATCGATGGCCAAAAATCGCATGAAAAAATGCTCAAGATCATTAGTCATCAAGGATATGCAAATCAAAACCATGATGAGATAGAATTTTATACCCACTAGGATGGCTATAATTAAAAAATCAGATAGTAGCAAGTATTGGAGAGGAGGTGGAGAAATTAGAATCCACATACGCTGCTGGCAGCAATGTAGAATGGTGCAGACCTTTGGAAAACAGTCTGGCGGCTCCTCAAAGAATTAAATGTGGAGTTACCATTTGATCCAGTAGTTCTGCTCCTAGGGATATACTCAAGAGAAATGAAAATGTGTCCACACAATAATTTGTAAATGAATGTTCATAGCAGCATTATTCATAGGACTCAGAATGTGGAAGAGGTGTTGAGTTCCTTCAGTGCTTCTCCAGCTGTGCTTCTAGGAACCCTCAGGGAGCCGTCACGATGTGTGTATAGGGGGTGGGGGAGGGAGCCCAGGCCTTATCCCAACCTCACCCAGACCAGCTCTGTCCTGTATTTGATACATGGGGATTGTGCATTGGTGTCACCAAAACAAAGTTTCCCTGTCAAAAAAGAAATGAAAATAAACCAAGGGCTAGATGACCTCCGTGTGCTCTTTGGGCTCCCTGTGTCTCTGCACCTTGTTTGACTTGTTCAGGAAGACAAGTAGGTTCATAGCCTATTGTCTGACAG